CAGGAATTCATCCTAGGGTATTGCAAGACATAACACACATACCAGAGCTTGCTGCAGAAAAGAAAATCCTGGTCTTGCCATGTAAACTGACTTTCTGCAAAGGTGACCATCACACTGGAAGTTCCACCCAGGTATCAATGCATGTCTGTAGCTGTTTTAAATGTGCTAGAGTTCTGTTTTTGATATTTCAGGCTATGAAAACTTGGACGGAGCCAGTAGAGGTGCTCTACTGGGTGGGACCCAAAAGTCTAACCACCAGCGAGGGTGGAGCTACCTGCAACAATATAAATAAGAGCAGCAGCCCAGATTCTAGTCTGGTGGTCACCTTTTACAGAAAGTTAATTTTAAAGTAAGACCAACATCTTTTTCTAATACATTTCAATATAAAATTTAAGTTTTTTGAGTGATTGTTCACAGATTCTTGTTGGTGAGCAAGATCAAATTCTTTTGGTCAGCAGTATCTGTTGAGATCGTACACACATGCTAAGAAGATGCCAACGGCATAGGGCAGCACCCTGTAGAGGTACACCAAGCTAGTTCTGTACATACTAGCCCTGGTACTAGAAGTATTAGAGCTTTGTTAAAGCAGTGTTGCACCTGAATTAATAAGCCCTCATTCTCAGGGAAGTAAAATGGCTGAACCCTGCTAACCTGCTCCAGTTCTGCAGATGGGTGGTGTGCACTGAGCTGGCTTGGGGTATGTCTGAGTGCTAAAGGCATAACTGGCCAGTTTTGCATGTTGGGCAGCTCCCCCTCCCCCTTGAACCTTCTCTGCTGTGACTAGCTCTGGGAGGGAAGGCAGACCAGGTGCAGCAGCAGCACCTGGAGGTTTTCTGCTCCTGGGGGAGATGTCACTTTATACTGTCAATGTGCCTGTCAAGGGGACCAAACACTCTTCTCTTCCTCCCCTCCCTCCAGTGTTTAGTGGCAGAAAACCTCTGTTTAGAACTGCATTTCCCAGAATGCTCTTCACTGAACACGTACATACTTGTTTGCTGCTACTCTGCCCTCCCTGCTGCCAGACCTAGAGCTGCTTCAAGGAAGGTGCAAGGGGAGAGGGAGGCTGAGGTTGTCCCCATCCCCCCTCCCTCCCCAAGCTTCCCTTGAGCACCCTCTCCCTTCCCTGAGGCAGCACCCAGGACTTTTGCCCACTTTCCTACCTGTCTGTCACAACCATTGAATGCTGCCTTGGAGTATATAGGCATCCAGGGATATAAAGGGCAAACCCAGCTGTCCCTCAGTTTGTTCATATGGCGCATGGCAGCACAACAGAACCTATGCAATATGTGCGTTGCTTCTCTGTGTGTTGCCACTTTATTTCATACTGCTAGCTTGAAACACACAGTTTCTTGGTGTTTGGTTATACATGTACCCACATCTTACATGTCCATATACCCCTGTGTAGCAGAAGCAAAATGCCAAAGATTTAAACCTGCTTCTATTGAAGCTTCATTGTTATAATAATGGGCAATTTAGGTAAGTGTCTTATATTAGGAGGGGGACATTCCTGGGTGATATGCTATATGTTGCTTCTCTTGTGTGGCTTCAAGAAGTTAGGGAGCCTCCTTATGGAGTTGCCCCCTTCCCTAGAAGACAGATGCTGTTTTATATCCTTACTGAACCTTGTACAGAAGAAGTACCTTCACTCTTAAGGAAGCATAGTGCAAGTCAGGAAGATATTTGTGGAGAGGGATGCATGAGAGATGGCAAGAAACTACCCAGGCTTCACAGTGAACAGCCTAGTTGATGCCCCTTGACCCAGTTTCCATTTCTGCGTCATCCTTCCTTTTATTATGCTAGAGGGGGTCCAGTAGTGTTTTCATGGTTGCTTGGATTCACGTAGCCCCTGCACAGTTTGATCACCCTGCAGAGGTGAGCTGAATGCAGTCAGGTCAGCTAGTCTTATTGTGAAGAACCAGGAGGAAGAAAAGTACAAAGAAGAAAAATTTACAGCAGCTTGGTCTTTTCTCATTCAGTTAGTGAGAATTTAAATATCCTTCTGGGGAAGTTGCAGGGGGAACATCTTTTACTCTTCCATCAAACCTGCTGTACCTAAAAGTAGAGCCTGTAAGAGACTTACCAGGGTCCATTCTGAGTTGAAGAGAGATCAAGTTCCTGACAAGTGGCTAGTGTACTGTTAAGGATTAAATTAGATGACCTTCCAACCCTGTGATTTCATTACCAGCTGTTAACAGGGTTGCTTGTGATCCAGAGAGGTTGAATACAGAAAGCTAATTGGACAGCCTGCAGATGCTTATGGTCAGCAGCCAAGTACTTTTGTCAAAATATATATGGCCATTAGAATCAGGCCATTTCAGACAGAAAAGAACTACAGACCATGTCTGATGGACAGTTCATAAGACAAGAGACAATCTTACTGGATGTGTGTGTTAAGGTAACATTAGTGGTTTCAGCCTCAAAGTGTAACCTCAGAGTGTCCCAGAGAGGTCCAAGCAGTTGTTCCCTGGTTTCAGAGAGACATCTTTAGTCAAAGACTAATGTGGTCCTCTCTTTCTTAATGGAATCTAGAATAGTTCCTGATTTCAAGAAGGAAGCCCATAAAACCAGACTTCCCTCAGGCAGTGGTCTTTTCCCCAGTACTGCTAAAACCTCAAAGAACGTTGAGGATGCTGAGAAGGAAGAAGAGGTTTCAGCCCTGTGCCTGTCCTGCTGCACAGTTAGTGTCTTCCTAACAAGCAGCCGGTGTTGAGAACCTAGCGGCATCTTCAGGAGATCTTATCTTCTGTTCTCCAGTAACTATCTTCAGTATTTCTGGGAAGCATGGACTCTGATTACCTCAGACTAGAGTTATGGACATTATAAAAGGAAGTATTTTGCCCTTTCCTTGCCATTTTCAGGAATGTCTTGGAGATGTACTGTCCAAACAAGAAGCAAGTCCCTTCTGCCGCTTGGAGAAGGAGAGCAGGGATTGTTATCCCTCTTTATCTTTTAACCCCAGAAATTAAGAGGATTATGATTACAGTCTTTACTTTCAGTAGGTGTTAACAAATTAATCTTTTCAAATTGAGGGTGTCTGGTTTCCAGAATTTCCTTTTTAGAGCCCCCAGGCTGGTTTCATGGCTTTTAACATGCAAGATGCCTATTGTTGTTTGTTTTTTAATATAACCATAAATCCAGCTGAGAAACAATACCTCTGTTTTCTAGTAGGAACATCTTGCTATCAGAGCAACGACTTGCTTGCTCTCATTAACCATGTGTAGTTGTAGTGGTTTGTTCTAAGGAGACAAAGAATCTAGGTTTACTCATACCTCAGTGACTGGATGAATGAAGATGGTTACCTCAACAAGTGATAAGCTTGTCTCAAGTAACCTTAAAAATCTTTGCCACGTTCGGGCTCATTCAGAGAAAGAAATGCACTTATTCTGACTCGGAACATAGAATTCATAAAAACAGGGTTATGTTCCAGGTTAGGGAGAGTTTACTTTCTACAGGAAGCATTCCTGAATTTGGGAGAAACAGTGCTGTGCACCTACATGATGTAGGATTTCACCTGGACTCCATGCAAAGGTGCTTGAGTTCTGTGTTTGCACCCAGTCTGCAAATATTAGATGGATGCACTAGTTATATTCATTAGTCCTTTTCTTGGCAAACTGGTGGAAAGTCTTACAGATGTAAAAGAGATTTGCTATATCCCTGCCTATGAATTCATTGCTAGGAGATGCCTTCACCCTGGGGGAACACATCTTCGACTTCAGGGCCCATGAATTCCCTTGGGAAGCTTCTCTTTTCATAAACCTTGAGCTAGGAGCCAACAGTCTGTCATTGAGGGCTACTTCAGGGGTCCATAGTCCGTGTGCTAACAGGCAACACCATGGCTGTGCGTTATGTTAACAAACAAGGGAAGCAAGATTCTCTGGTGTCGGGCCTGTTTGGCTCTGCAAGTGGTTTGGTTCTTCTTAGGGTTTAAAGGTGGAGTTATTCTCTGGTACCAAGTTTCCTATTCTGGGGTCTTCAAGTGACTCATTGTTTTTTGGCTCTCCAGGTTCTCTGCCCCCAAACCAAGCTTCATTCTGTTTCATGTACCTGACATGGCAAAGGGAAAACTAATTCGGGAACACACCCAGACCTGGCCTGTGCAGAAGGAGTTATGGGTTAGATGGTGTTGTCTAACTAAGCAGTCTTCCAGCTGTTTAAGTACATACTGTGAACTAATAAGACTAGCTGTACTTGTTCACATAGGAGAGCTCAGGCAGCTTCAGTTGTTTGTTTGGAAGAATGTCCCTGTTTCTGAAAGCTGTAGGTCGGCTATGTCTGAACTCTCAAGACATGGTTCATGAGCATAGGCTTCCAGAGCAGATGTCTGCTTTGGCAGGCTTGTTCTGTAATCTCTCTGTAGGGCAGGTAGTGTCCACCTCCAAGCAAATGGATAATTGCTTGTTTTCACAAAAAAGATTGCCTGTGTGATGCTTTTTGGAGTGAAAACAATTACTTACCTTAAGCAACAGTGTTTTCTGTCCCCATAGATTCCACGGTCTGCTTTCCTTCCCTGCTGCCATAGCGCATTTCAGTAGTGGTGAAGGAACTGAGGATGAGTTGGAGTGAGACTTTTTTTAATGGCCTAGTGGAAGGCTGGAAGAGAGAGCAAAGGTATTAGGTTACAGCAGTGGTACCAAGATGTGTACAGGTGTATGCACGCCAAAAGCACATCTTGAAGGCCACAGTTAGCATAGGGTAAGAAGACATTTCTAATGTGTTCAGAAGACTGAAAGTGTGAAGGTTTTTATGTATCTTGTTACTAATGGAAACGTCTACAGATTTTAGAGTTTGTCAGGATAAAACATGGTCATTTTGAAAAAACTAAGTGACTGTGTCTTCCTTTTTAAAATCCTGCCCAGGCTCCTGCTAAATCCTCTCTAGTCCACATGAGCACTGTTGAGATGTATGTAATGTGGAAAATGTTTTAAGAAAGTAGTTTCTACCTGCTTTACCAACACTTATTCTTCCCTTCCCCCCCCCCCCCCTTTTTTTTTTCTTGTAAGAATGAAGCCAAGAAAAATTAAAGAAGATGACGCTCCAAGAACGATAGCATGCCCTCACAAAGTAAGTGGAACTTGTGGTATTTCGGTGGTGAATTGCTTGTAAGAATCAAATTTTTGCTCATGTTAATTTTCTGTTGGGAAATAGGACTGAAGATTTTATTCTAAATATCAAGGTTTGCTCATTTAACTGAGTTTTTGAAAGGATGTTTTTCAGAGGGCATTTCCAGATAATGAAGGATTATTTTAAATTCTTGTATAAATGGTGGTGTCTCTGCCCAGGAAAGGATTCTTGTTTGTGTGTTAGGTGGTCGTAAGATTGGTGGAAGGATCCTTTGTCCGAGTAGCTTGATATTTGCTTGGACTGCAGGATCAATGAAGTAGGAAGGAACCCATAGGAAGCATATCACTTTAAATTCTATATAGCTGCAACTTGCTGGTTCCATGATCCTGATCACATGAAGTTACATTGGTATGCTTCATTCAGTAAGTGTAAAGAGCATTTCAGACTCCCTTCTAGTTGAAGAGGTTGCTTTAAAGAGCTGGGTTATTGTGGCTATTTGTTTCAGTTAAGGGGAGAAACTGCAATTCCTTCTCAGGGTTAGTATGTCCCTAAACTTGTGGCTACCAAAAATGCATTCTTTTCAGTGCTAGCCTAAAGTTTTGTGATGTTCTGTTGTCTTTAGGCATTTAAAGCACTTTGACATGAGACCTATTCTGAAAACTATTGAAACCATAGTCCTGTGATCTAAGGCTGATGACAGATGTGAAGGGGATAAAAAGTGCTTTACCAGAAGAGGAAGCACATCAGTGTGACCCAGCTCCCCAGTGTCTATAGATTGGGCACTTCAGTGAGGCTTTTTGGCACTTTTATCTAAAAAGCGGGTTCAATCAGCTATTGGATAAAAGCCCCGCTGAAGTGTGCGAGCTATACAGACATTGGGCAAGCATGGGCAAACTAATGCAATGCCTCTTCTGGGCATGAGCTGTGCTCAGCATGGGGGCACACCAAACTGGAAATAAAGCACTGTTTTGGGGGGTTTTCACATCCGTAAGCACAGTAGATGAAGCAACAGGTGAGCAAGGTCAAGTTCTTTTTTAAAAGGGCAGAGGAAATGTGCAGTGCAAGAATTGGGTAGAATTTTAAAGGATTTGTGAATATTAATGAAGAGTGATATCTTGGATAGTGAGAATCTATAAAAATTACCCTCATTTCTCTAGTTTTCAAATCCTGGCAACCAATAACTACAGAATGGAATTTAATGAATTGGTGGGGTGCAGAAAAAGGATTAGTCAAGGACTGTTATAGTTAGGTGGTATTTTGATGCAAATCTCACTACATTCAGTAAATGTGACGTTCGGTAGTAACAGACATGAAGTACAGGTGCAGAATCTGCCACAAGTAAGGGGACTAAATGATCATGACTAGGGTGTACCATCATCTCCAAAAACAAGTTGTCTACATTCTTCCGTGCCTCATGGCCACTAGCAGTCTGTCCTGTCTGTGATCTTATTTTGTCAGATAAACCTCATCAGCGCCCTCTGAGGCAGATTTTCTTCTGTACCTGCCATGTCATGGAGATCTTTTTTCTTTATTGGGAATGGGAAGTGTGAGGGGGGGAGCAGGAGGTAAAGAGGCAGAAAAACTCCATTTACATCAAAGAATGAGACCCAAGATGGGTAGTAGTGCAGCGATCTCGTCCTACCTTTTGTTAGTTCATGACGTGGTATAAACTGAACACTTTCAGTATATCTGTGCTCCTGTTCTTTCACAGGAAGGAAGTTGTGTTAGTTTGACTAACAAAGTTCACTCATTGCATGGTTATAAGGTAGGGCAGAGTAACAGAGCTAACCACATCTTGCCTTATTGTGTGGGGCAAGTTGAGGAGCTTGTGATTTTATTCCAGCTCCTTAAACTGATTTACTGACCATCAGCAATATGCTAGTGTGATTTAACTTTTATTGTGAGTGTGTTTACAATTAAAATATGTAGTGGAGTTAGAGGGGCTGTTCATTTTTAGGATTAGCTTTTAACTTAAGGTAACTTTGTTTCCTTTTACCTTAAAATTACAATGTTTTGGCAGACAAACTTGTTCTGATAACTGAATGTTCATCTGTTAATTGTTTTACTGTTCTCTTTTTGAAGGGCTGCACAAAGATGTTCAGGGACAACTCTGCTATGAGGAAGCATCTGCACACTCATGGTCCTAGAGTACACGTATGTGCAGAATGTGGCAAGGCCTTTGTGGAGAGCTCCAAACTAAAGCGACATCAGCTAGTTCATACTGGAGAGAAGCCCTTTCAGGTAACGGCCCATTTCTGGGCATGCATTACTACTGCAGTTTTCATTTGGAAATAAGAAAAGCGTGTAGGTTATAATGAGCTATTATAGACCTAAATTCTCTGTTCATTAAGTATGGATGCTTAAATGGAACTGTGATTTCTATTTCTAGGTACATTTTTTGGAAGCAGGTGCATTTTTGCTAGCAGCACATGATTTTAAATGTCATGATCAGTCTGTCCCAGTTTCGGGTTTTGGATAGCTTGCAAAGAAATTAATACCTCCTTGTTCAGGGCAGGATCATCCCTGTCTAAACCATCCTAGCCAAGTGTCCTTTTGATCTCCTCTTGAAAATTTCCAGGGGTGAAGATTTCACAACTTCTCTACATAGTCTGTTCCAATGCCTGACCACCCTCATAGTCAGAAAGCTTTTCCCAGTCTCCAATCTAAATTTCCTCTGCTGCAATTTGAGGCCATTGTTTGTAGTCCTGTCCCCTACAGCCAGGGAGAGGCAGCTATCTCCATAGTCTTTATAATCTCCTTCATCTTTTTGACTACTTATCAAATCCCCCCTTCAGTGACTTGTTCTTCAAGTTAAAACTTAGTTCTTTGCAGTCTTTCCTCATAAATCATGGTTTCCAGGCCTGTAATCATTTTTGTGGCTTACTGTTGGACTCTTTCCAATCCATCCACAGTTTACTTAAGGGTGGGGCCCCAAATTATATGCAGTACTCCAGGCAAGGCCTCTCGCCAGTAGTACTGCAGGATCATTGGAATCATTCACATTTACTTCCTCCCTTCTAATGTGCATTTTCCCACAAAGTTGCAGGGATTTTGCTCGGTAGCGTAAGAACAGTAGTCTCATTAGCCATCTAGAGTCACAGATCAAGACTGTGAAGTTAGATGATACTGTATGAAATGCGGGTTTTTATTTTCCTAGAAGCTGTTTTTGAAATATATTTATAAACTAGGAAATTACCCTCCAGGTTCCAGACTTTTTTTAAAAAAAAGTTAATTCTGAATGAGAGAACTATTCTTATTGTCATGTGAGACTGCTTGGGCTGTTTGATTTACCACTGACCAATCCAAATGTTTAAGTCTTGTCATGAGCACTAACTAACTATAAATGTAGCCACTGAATATCCTCAGGAGTCACTTGAACTTCTACCACAAGAGGTCCCCAATCATTAAACAATATAGGCTCTGAATAGAGCAACATGAAAAGAAGTACCTGGTGACATGTGCTTCTTAGCACAATTAAGTACAGACTTTTTTCATGGAAAAAATAATTTCTCTAAATACCAAAAAATACTTCTGGAATTTCATTCTGTGCATATTTCTTTCAGACTAGAAAAACTACAAGTATTTGCACTGTTTTTTTTCTAGTTTTCAAACAAACTGCCACAAAAGGCTGATATCAGTAACTTGAATTGAGGCCCCAAGTTGTTAGATGGCCCTCAGTTACTCATGTACTTCATGTACTTACTCAAGTTTCATGGAACTTGACCAATATTTTTTCTAAAATTAATCTTGTGACTGAGGAGTCGGGGTTCATACATGGCATTGCAGTTTCTGTGGCATGAAAAAAGATCCTAGGCCAGGTTCCAGTTGTTCCTTCTAGGGTATAAAGTCATAAAAATATGCATTCGCATTCACCTTTTTTTTTTTTTCTTTGAACCTGTGGGAGAAGATGGGTCTTCCAGTGTTTGCTGAAGGCCAGTGGAATCTAGCAGCTTTGAGTTGGTGAATAAAGAGCACCAAGTTGTGAAGTTGAGAGCTGCTCACAGTAATCGGCAATCCACTCTAGAACCAAGTAGGTTCTGGTGCCTCTTCTGCCTCTGCTGCCATGACTAAGGCAAGCACATTTTTCAACCAGACAAAGTCACAAAACAACTTAGACTTTCAGGAATTAGAATCAGCTCCATTTTTTTAAAACCTTCCCCTCCTTCCTCTCCCTCTTTGCCCTCCTCCCAGAAAGCAGGAGACAGCCATAATGGGGGGACATAATGGGGAATTGGTGTCATGCGGAATTGGTGTCATGCTCTAAACAAGTCATGTGCTATCCTCTGTCTGCACCACAGCTTCAGTTTCAGCATGGATTTAGGGTGCAGTGTTTTGTAATTCTAACTTGTTTCGTTCACCTTTCAGTGGAAACAAGCAGTGGCTCAAGCTAACTCTGCTTATCTTGCTGTGCTGTCATTCATAGTTGATTTATTTGTATTTTATATGTTCTTAATTTAGCTAAATATATCTCCTTAGGGATGTGAAGAGGGAGCATAGATTGAAAGTCCTTTCTTGCAAGTTTGATCTTTCACTTTCTTACAATTCCTCTTCACAATAGTCTTTTAGTATTACTGAGAAGAATACTGTTTTGTTTTTAGTTACCACTTAAAGGAAACATTTACAATCGGGTGTAATAACTGCACGACTGGATATCATTGCACATTTGGTTTTCAGGCAGAACTCCTGCTGGTCCTAATGGGAGCTTTGTGAGACTGGATAGCAAAATCAGGCTTTCTTATTTATACAGAAAGTCCAATAATTCAAAGAATCGCTTGCTGACTTGGCAAATACTTGTTGCTTTTGTGGAGATAGCTTTTAACCTTTGCTCTTTCCTTTCAATAGTGCACATTTGAAGGATGTGGAAAGCGTTTTTCACTGGACTTCAATTTACGCACACATGTGCGAATTCATACTGGCGACAGGCCCTATGTGTGCCCTTTTGATGGCTGTAATAAGAAGTTCGCTCAGTCAACTAACCTGAAATCTCACATCTTAACACACGCTAAGGCCAAAAACAACCAGTGAAAGTAAGCATGGAAGAAGTTCTTGAACTCAAAGCATCTTACAGGAGTATGATTGGGAATAAATATGCCTCCCCTTTGTATATTGTTTCTAGAAAGAATTTTAAAAAAAGAACCCTACGCATCTAAAGGACATGTTTTGATAAGTAGTAAATAAAAATAAACTTTAAGGTGACGTTGCTAAGATGCTCTACCTTGCTCTGTAATCCAGTTTCAAGAACACGGTGTTTTGTAAAGTGTGGTCCCAACTGGAAGGGACGGTTCACGAACTTGTATCAAAAAAGACAATTCTTTATACAACAGTGCTAAAATTGGACTTCTTTTCACATTCTTATAAATATGAAGCTCACCTGTTGCTTACAATTTTTTTAATTTTGTATTTTCCAAGTGTGCATATTGTACACTTTTTGGGGATATGCTTAGTAATGCTATGTGTGATTTTTCTGGAGGTTGATAACTTTGCTTGCAGTAGATTTTCTTTAAAAGAATGGGCAGTTACATGCATACTTCAAAAGTATTTTCCTGTAAAGAAAAAAAAGTTATATAGGTTTTGTTTGCTATCTTAATTTTGGTTGTATTCTTTGATGTTAACACATTTTGTATAATTGTATCGTATAGCTGTAATGAAATCATGTAGTATCAAATATTAGATGTGATTTAATAGTGTTAATCAATTTAAACCCATTTTAGTCACTTTTTTTGGAAAAATACTGCCAGATGCTGATGTTCAGTGTAATTTCTCTTTGCCTGTTCAGTTACGGAAAGTGGTGCTCAGTTGTAGAATGTATTGTACAGGCACTGACCTTTTATTAACACCTGATAATATGTACATCCCATGTAATAGAAAGGGCAACAATAAAACAGTGGTCCGAAAGAAAGAATATGGCAGAAAATGATCTGTAAGCACAGTCTATTCTTTTGTTGTCCAGAGCAATTATAGTTCTTGAACCTCCCAGAAATTGGAAGCTAAATAAAACTCAAGTTTCCTTTACTTTGCATTCATTATAATGATTTTTGACGTGATACATCTGCAGTGACACGTCAGGTGGGTTCTGGTACTGTTGAACAGAATTGGTGGTAATCCTGGTCTTAGGAAGGACTTGCATTCAAATTAACTGTTAACGGGGAGACTGGAAATGTTTTCAAAGACTTTTGGGTATCTTGCAACTAGTCAGTAAGTGGAATGATGCTCTGACCTACTTAACTGTGCTTCTCTGCTTAGTCAAGGTAAAGAACCATAATAGGTAACATTTAGTGTGTGTTTAAATGGAAACTTGAATGGTGACACTAATACTCAGGGCATGCTTTGATTGGACTTGCTTTATATCACATTTGATGCTTTTTGTTGTCTTGTTGAAAGTGACCACTAATAGTTTGTTACAAGTGTCCAGAGTGCAAATATACATAGGTGTTGCTTCAGGAGAATGTTAGAAGTGCTCTATAATGAGATTGTTCTAGATTTTTAGTCACTAGATGTCTTATAAGAATATAGTCCAGCCCACTAGCAACTTAAAAATGAAGACCTAAAACTTACATTTTGTTGGGCTCAGACTTTAATTGCAAATCTAAAATGTCTGTGTAATAGAGGTTATTCTGTGAACAGTAAGGAGTGCTTTTCATTTGCACCTACGGAAACTTTAAATTTCATTGCTAAAGCAAATAGCACACCTCTCTAGCTATTTGAGTGTTTTAAGGCTACGAAGAATAGTGGGGTATTAAGCTTAATGCAGTGTATTTTAACTTGATTTAAAGGCAGTGCTTAATTTGTTTTCCTTCTAATGTGGGATTGGTTACATTTTGGGGGCAGGGTGGAGAAGCAGCCCATGAATGAATATTGTATAATTATAATTCTGTAGCTTTTGTCAAAGGGATTCTTTCCTGTACTTGAAATAAACAGTTGCACTTCTTGGAAGGAGACTAGGGCAACTTGGGTCTCGTACAGACATTTAGTTTTTCCTGGGAGCGTAGAAAGAGCGTACAGAAGTTCAGTAAAAATTGCCGCTCCAAGGGAAAAATAACCTGGGAACAACCAGGGTTAAATTACTCTCAGGAGAGTTTCTATTGGGATAGCAAATGTTTGTACATTTTAAGTCTCGTGTTAGCCAAACTAATCTGTTTCCATATAGCACTCATCACGGTATTTGAGTGTCTTCACCAAATAAAGATCTCTCTCTCCCACCCCCCACTTATAAAAGGGTTGTTTGGTTGAATGTGATGCTGGGGAGAATGGTGAGTTTAAGATAAAGGGTTATACTTTGTTCTTAGCTGACTTTGCCCTTGTACAAGACTTTCAGCTGAGACCTGGTTATTTGTTTCATATTGTTCTGTTCTGTTAAATTGTCATGCATTGCTGTTATCACTTAATACGTTTTTTGCAGATGTGGAAGTAGGGAGACTTTGGGCCATTTTGTCAGCTGTTCAGTACCCTGACCAATGGTTCAATTTACTTGCTTAGATTCTAAGTGACAAAAAGGATGGGTTTTGCACAGCCAGACATCATTTGAGAATTCCCAGAGCTGGTTTAAATAGACTCTATTCACCCAGAGAAGCTATTCAACATGGGATGAATATCTTGAAGCATCTTTTAGAAATGTATTTTATTCTTAAAGCTCCACACTTAACTGATTCAGAAGCTCCCCATAGACTTCCAGTGAGGATACTACAAGCAGAAACCAGTCATAACCAAAGGAATAGCGGTGGAGCTGATTTTGAATCAACGCTGCCAGCCTGTTATCCCCATGAACCTGCTACCAAGCTTGCAAGTAAACTCAGGTAAGGGAAGGAAAGCTTCTGTGGGGCCCCACATAGACAACCACTCTAATTGCTGAGGGCTCCAGGGTCAGCCTCTGTAGTTCCTGCCATGTGCATATTGACTTGATTACTCATATGTTTTGTGTAACTCAATTAACATTCAGGCAATCAGCAGATAAAAGGGAAGGAACATTCAGGATTTAGGCTTAAAGCAGCTCTAAAAAAGGAGGGGGAGAATAATAAAATTGTACTACCTTCACTTTTAAACTACCTCAGTAACACTAAACAAGAGGGTTTGCTTCAGTAGGAATTTAATGTATGTGGACCCTATTAATAGCTTCATTGTTGCTTTGTGTGTCACGGGGAAGGATTTGACAATACTCTCCTTTTCCCTAAGGAGAACCTTTGGGCATTTGTACATGTGTGTGCCACAGTACCGGGTGCTTTTTAAAAGTGCCCGGTGCTGTGGTGCATACATTTATATACAAGGTGAAATGTGTGTCAGTGCTGAGAAAATGGCACGCTTTTGAACTAAAACACATTGGAAGTGTTTTGGTTCAAAAGTGCACCACCACCATTTTCTCAGTGCTGGTGCACATTTTGCTATTTATACAAATTGTGGTGCAGCGCCAGACACGGTAGCTTGCATGTGGAGAAGACTTAATTAATCCAGTCTGCTCCGATGCACTGGACCTCTGGGGCGTCGGAGCAGACAAATGTATGTGTATAAATGCCCTTTCTTCCTGAAAGAAAAGTAAGATGGGGGAAAGTCTTGGCTTCAGTCCTGAGTGGGTGAGAGTAAGTGGTTTATAATAAAATGCTTTAACATGCTACTTTTTTTTCTCCCTGGTGGGGCCCCCATCTGCAGTGACCCAGTTATTTACCCTTTTCCTTAGTCTCCAACAATTCTCTGCTCTGAAATAGAGCAACCTGTTGGTGATATTTTTAGCTCCAGTCTAAGTAATGCTGAAGTGACCTACCAAAAACATTGAGGTGCAGGGCTTGGACTTCTCAGCAGTGCCAGGTAGATAAGCCCAGTGCTGATAGCTCTTTGGCTCCCTGAAAAGTCTTTTACCCTTCCTCGTCTTGACTGCACTTCTTTCTTCCAGATGGTGACAAATTGATAATTGCTTTAGACTGTGGATGGCCATCCCACAGCACAAGTGGCACAGGCAGCTGCTGTGTGTGGTGGTGTTCAGTAAAGCGAGTCCTTTGGAGGGGGAAGAGGCAGGATGCTACCACAAAGTTGGCAGGTGTCACCACCTGCTTAACTTTTCCCTGGCCCTGCAGCTGCTTCCAAATTAAGGGTTTTGGATCCCTTAATTGTCATGTAAAATTGAGGTGGTTGTGAAACCTGGGAAGGGTTAACCTGGTTCTCAGTAGTGATCCCTTCTCTTACAGTAGTGTCCTGCCCCAGCTCCACTCCACACAGTGGAGTGAGGAGTGTGGCCAGAGGCTTGAACCCTGCTGCTTCCTTCCTGGTGCCCCAGGGTGCAAGTTTTTTATCAGATATGCCAAGGAGGGTAGGGGGGATTACCTTGTGGTATGCCTGGCAAAAAAGGTTAGCTGCCATTGCTTTAAATGGCAAAGATGAGTATCAGTAGTGGATGCTGAACAGAAGCCATTTCCATGCCCCCATCCCCTGCTGGTTTGGTACAGAACCAATGGCTGTTGTTTCCAGGCTTGCTTTCTCTTCCCAGTAATCAAATAGTTTCTAAGGGAGAAGACCAAAATGGATGTATAGTGTGCGTGGAGATGCAGGCGTTGCTGCTTCCTGAATATACTGATAGTTGAAAAGCAGCAAAAGACAGATAAGTCTGTTGAGAACAGCTAAATGAAAAGGTCTAATCAGTGAGTCAAAAAGATCATGAAAGTCTATGCCTTGGATGATCCCATCATTCTAGAAGATGCCTCAACAGCTATTGTGGAGTACCTCCAAATTTAGGCAGCATCCTTTATAGAAATTTGGCAATTGGTATCTACAATACAACAACTCAAGATGGGTAAGAAAGTGCTGCTTTTCAGAAGCCTGTCCCAATGTGATTGTCTAGCATCCTATCTCCAGTCACCAAGCTATGCTTCTTTGCTAGTGATGTACTATGCGTACTCTTGCATGTGCCAGCCATGACAAATCAAGAACTCTAGTCAAAAGTTCAAAGATCTTCACTGTGGATGTCTGGATCAAGAGAAAATTTTGAATTGGAAGCAGGCACAGCTACCCCCAGCTATGCAATCTTGTACCATTGAGAAGGTGGACTTGTAATCAAGTTCTGAAAGTGCTAGACAACATGCTTCCTCAGCCAACCCAATTTGGGAAACCCTGTAGCAAAAGAGAAGCTGATCTGGGGATTCTTTTGTAGCATGGTCCTGAAACAGCAAACTTGAAAAACAACTTGAACAAATTAAAGGAATGGATGGGACTCGCTGGTCAGACTGACATCTGCCTTCAACACATGATGTATGTACTGGTTTGGATGCCAAAGTTCTGATAAAAAATAGGAGGACCTGAAGAGAGAGCAAGGGGGTGTGGGTGGTTCAGTTTAGTGTTAAGAGTTCCTGATGTTTTGGTAGCTGGATCTTAAGATGTCACTTCTCAAGCAAATCACTTTGTTTTAATGATCTAGGATTCTTTGCACTTCAAAAAAATGGGTCCCTACCTGCTCCATTCCAAGAACACTAATTTTATGGACAAAGTTCCTCACAAGAATCCACGCTACTTTCAAACTGATATCACTTCCTCAACTGTCCATGCTGTGTCAGGACAGTTCTGTGCAGAATTATTATCAGCTACTTCATTCATTTGAAACCAGCCCTAGAGGACTTTTTAAGTTTTTGAATTTCTGTCTTGCTATAGTAGTTCTTCAGCATCTTAAATGCATAGACTGAATTTGCTGATTCAGGGTTCCTTAAGACAAGAAAAAATGAGAGATGCTTCTCTTTTTTGGTGGGGGGGGGGGTCACTTTTTCAGGCAAATTAAAAAATATATAGGGTTTTACTATTTCTGGCAGAAATGTTTAAATTTTAAAAAATTCAAGAGTATCCTTCTTAAGTTGAGAAGTAATTACTTCTAGAATAATAGTTGGTGGGCTATCCTTTCCTGCTTTAGAGATGGACAATGCTTCCCATGCTGACTAGGCTCCCCCTGCTGGCATATATGTGGTTCTGCAGAAATGTTTAATGTTCAGTTCTTTTACAACTACAGTTATCACTTATCTACTTTGCCATTATCAATTATTTAC